GAATCGGGGTCCACCGCTGGCCGAGAACGCGCCAGGAGTGAGGATGCTGTCCTCGGTGTTAAAGCTGCGCCTAAGGCTGCTGGTGGAGACGCTCTTGTTTAGAGCGCGGTTGTTGAGGCTCGCCCCGAGAAGGCTCCGACCCATCCCGCCAGGGGTGCTAGCTGTGCTCGAGGCACTCCCAGGAGTGCCGTAGGTGCTATACGAAAACCCGAACCCTCGCTTCTGCGGCGTCACATAGCGGGCAGAGGCGGGGTTGAGCTTGTACATGGGAAGGATAGATCCCCTCTTCGGCTTGACCTTGGAGGATAAAGGCGTGGCCAGTGGGCCAGGGTTCGCGGCTTCAGCGTTGCCTTGGTTGGAGAAGAGAGACGACGTGCCATACGCGGAGACGTCCGTGATGCTCGCACTAAGAGACTGAGGCGTCCCACCTGGCCCCTGGGAGCCGCCCAAGATCGAGCTGAAAAGGGAGGTTGGGGCCTGTTGTTGCTGCTGCTGCTGCTGCTGCTGGCCAGCAGTGCTACCGAACAGCGAACCTTGTTGCTGAGCGGGCTGAGATCCGAAAAGACCGCCGCCTGCGGGCTGCTGCGTCGCCCCGCCGAAGAGGGAAGGCTTCGCTTGGCTCTGGCCGAGAGATGAGAACAACCCGCCACCGCCAGCCTGTTGTTGCTGATTCTGAGCACCCGCACCCAGGCCGCCGCCAAACAATCCGGTACCCGTCCCGCCAGTCTGCTGGGTCGAGGTGGCGCCGCCGCCAAATAGACCACCGCCGGTTGTTCCGGTCGCCGGCTTCGATCCGAAGAGCCCGCCTCCTGTCGTACCAGTGGTAGTTGAGGCTCCAAACCCACCTGCGGCAGGAGTAGAACCCCCAAAGAGACCGCCGCCGGCTGCTGGAGTTCCGGTAGCTGCGCCGCCGAACAGGCCACCAGGCTTTTGCTGGGTCTGTCCACCAAATCCAGAGCTAGCGCCGAATCCACCAGACTGCTGTGCACCTCCACCGAACAGTCCACCACCGGTAGTACCCGTCGTCTGGGTAGTGGTGCCACCACCAAAGAGCCCTCCAGACTGTGCGGTGCCAGTGGTATTGGTAGCACCGAACGCACCGGTCGAGCCCGCAGTGCCAAACCCTCCCGTTGCGGGAGTGGTGGTGCTGCCGAAACTGAACCCGCCGGGCTTAGCCTGTTGAGTAGCGGCCGCACCTCCGAAGAGACCGCCACCTCCCGTCGTTGTTCCGGAGCCGAATCCACCAGTCGAGGTCCCTGTGCCGCCAAATCCGGTCCCGCTAGTGGTAGCTGCACCACCACCAAACAAGCCCGTGGATTGAGTAGCTGGCTGCGTGGTGGACCCAAACAGCCCACCTCCCGTGGCGGGCTTGTTCTGGCCAAATAGGCCCCCACCCGATCCAAACGCCGTCCCTGTACTGCTCTGGGCGCCGAAGCCGGTCGAGGCCGCAGGGGTGGAGCTGCCGAATAGGCCACCGGTACTCCCTCCAAAGGCAGAGGTCTGTTGTGGCTGTTGTTGGGTGCCTGAGCCGAAGCCTGATCCTGAACCGAAGCCGGAACTGACACCGAATGCACCTGCGCCAGTCGCATTTCCGTGACGACGGCCCTGGGCATAATCAACCAGCCTCAGCTCGTCGGCGGACCATTTTTTGTACGGGTCTTGGAATAATATGTTTTGGAAAGCGTTTTGCGTCGCTGAGGTCGCCGACTCCCGTTCCGTCAAGGGGTTAAAAGCAGTAACCGCAGTACCGGGAGGGTCGCCGACATTGCCGCCAATGCCGGGGTTGTTCGACGCGCCAAATCCACCAGTAGTACCAGTAGTACTACCACCGCCGAAGAGGGATCCGCCAGTCGCAGCGGGGGTCGCGCCGAAGGCAGGCTTGGAACCAAAGAGTCCCCCGGAACCTGATCCGAAGGTGCTAGTGTTGGATTGGTTGGCCGTAGTTCCGGAGAAGCCGCCAAACCCTCCAGCAGTTCCGGTGTTCGTGCTCGAAGCTCCAAACAAACCGCCGCCGGTTGCAGGTGCTGAAGCGCCGAAGGCGGGTTTACTGCCGAATCCGCTTTGTTGCGTGTTCGCACCGAAGGCTAGTTAAGATGAAGTGTTAGCCCATCCACATTCTAAAGAGAGAAGACATAGCAGGAACACGCGGGGGGGGATAAGACGATAAACAGTGGGCAATCCGGTGCACGGGGAGGAAGGGGCTTTGATGGGTACTAACCTCCAGAGCCAAATCCGCCGCCACCGGTCGCAGTCCCTGAGCCGCCAAAAAGGCCGCCGCCGGTCGAAGCAGAATTCGTGCCGAAGGCACCCGTGTTGCTCGAGCCGAAGGCTAGGCGTGAGGCGAGTGGTGTGAGTACAGTCACGGATAACGAAGGACGGGCTTCGGCAAAAGAGAGAGGGGACTACCTACCAGGAGTAGTGGTACTAGTAGAACCGAAACCGCCAAATCCAGAAGTTTGTTGTTGCTGTTGATTAGACTGGCCGAAGCCGCCAAAGCCACCGAATGACATGTTGGGTAACGCCCGTCGGCCCCAAGGATGGCGCGAGAAGGGTCAAAGATATCGGTGACGCGATTGGGAGGGCGATCGTAAAGTCGTCACCCTTCCGCGCAGATCTCAAGGATGATCGAAGGCAAGATTAGTAGCGCATCTGTGCGCGATAAGATATATCGACAGGATACGGATTCGTATGTCGCGGTAGATGGAAATCGGGAGGACGTCGTGGGAGTTGAGGTCGCGATGTCAAGAGCGCGAGGATCCGAGGGAGTGGAAAAAAAGGAAGGTAAGAAACACGGACGTGAAGTCGGAGAGAATACCGGGGCGCAAGGAAATAAATAGAGGGAAAGAAAGACGATATGATCGTCCAGAAGCAACCAGAGATTGCTCCAGGGAAAAGATGTTCCGGTCGAGGCTTTCGCTGTCGCGGATAATGCCTCGATTAGAGAAGGAGCAAAATATGAGGTGTGGGATGCTTTGTCTTTTTTGCTCTCTGTCTGAATGGCGCAGTCCAATGAGAGAGGTCGGACCAGCTGGAGCAATATTCCCTTTCTGCCTTACCTGATGTACCGCCCAACCTAAAGGGCGACATATAATTGGCCAGGAGCTGCTGTGGGCCAATGAAATTGTTTAGCACTACAGAACAAAGCGGTCACTGTTGCCTGGGTTTTCTGCCTAAAGATACCTAATCTTGATGTATTTGTCACCTCACATTAATAATTAGTCCCCGATGACATAAGCCGGACATTCCCAGGCCGGCCCGCACCCTAATGTTTGAGGTGGCTTTGACGAGTTCGTCGAAGGGAGCCGCGGTCGCGTCTTGCACGCGCAACCACCAGCCAGCCACCATTTTCCCCACTTCCCCAGTGTATGAGCATCAGCTAAGAACTAGCCCGCTGCAGGATCCAGATTTGTGGCCTGTATGCTCTTGTATGGTCTACTTTGGTGAGGGTACGAATGCCCACTGGGGACGAGTAGTGTCAGAACATCGCTTCCTCAGTATTTACCTCGAGCGACGGCAAACCCCTTGAGAGGCACCTTCCCGTCCGAATCAAGTCGAGGGAACGCACCTGATTGATTCCATTGTCCAAACGGAGCGAGTTTAACTTGAAACTTGACCAATTTATACCCAGAATTCTCCCGGCATCTTGGTTGGCTAGCCTCGGAGCCCGTACTCAGTCTTCTTCACTTCCACCAGTTATGAACAATCCACCTCATCCATCTCATCCACCGCGCACGCCGACTCATCGATCATACGCCAGCATGGCTCATCCGAGGGATAGCCGTGTATCGTTCCAGCCCCGGGATCAGTTCGGCCGTTCACATGAACCGAATCCTCAGGAAGCGTTAGACATCAACCAAACCCTGTCTGAAGAGCAGAAGAAGGATATTTCACAAGCTGTGAGTATTTGTGCTGTCATCATTCGCTGGGGACTGAGGAGATTGCCCTTAGATTAGGCCCATCACCATCTTCTTAAAGGATACCTCCTCACTAACCTCACAAAATATTGATAGTTTACCTTGTTTGATCAGGATCGCGATGGCTACTTAGACTACCATGAGCTCAAGTTCGGCCTAAAGGCGCTTGGCTTCGAACTGCCTAAGCCTCGTGTCTACGATCTGCTAACAAAAAACGGCATCGCCCCGCCATGGCACCCCCCGAATGAGCCTTGCCCGGGGCCGAGCCTTCGTATTACTACCCAGGCGTTCGAGGCAATCGCGACGACGCTTATCGCGAGCCGTGATCCGCGGGAGGAGCTGAGTCGGGCATTCGACATGTTTGACCAGGATGGAGACGGCATAATCACGCTCGAGGACCTCAGGATCGTAAACTCGACGATCAAGCAGGGGACGACCGCTTCCGACAAGGACATGGCGAACATGATAGCGCAGGCAGACCTGACTGGGAAGGGAGGAGTGGACAGGGAGGAGTTTATAGACATGATGATAGCTGCGAAACGGCGCCGGGGCTACTGATACCTACCCTCGAGCTATTGTTAGGGGCTGATTAAACGATTGGTCATGCTGAGCGAGTGTCTGTTTCCATCTTTGAGATACTGTCACTGGGGGGATGGCCTCACGGTTGCGTATTGTGGAACTTGGCGATACTATATGAAGGCGTTCTGGTTTATGCTTATGGAAGCCGTCACACAAGAGAAAGTGATGGCTCTTGGATGTCAGCACGCAGAGAAGTTCCGTTCGTGTTTATAAGCAAGCTTGGATTCCCTCCTTCAATATTTTTACTCGTATGAACTTGACAACCTTGGTGAGGACGTCACGTCCCTCAGGTGGATTGGCCAAGTCCCAAGTGGTTTCTGATGGATTTGTCTTGTTTCGAGCCGGGGGCGAGTCAGAATGGCATAGAAGTTCGAACTAGGCATGATGTATGATCCTGGCCATCATGCAACTTTATTCGATCATCCTCAACTTGCCGGATGAGAGATAAGTAACCCCGGAAATGGAAAAGAAGGGAGGGTAAGCAGGCAAAGTAAAAAAAAAAAAGAATGGCTGCAGTGGGATTCGAACCCACATCTCAACGCTGTCTTGAAAATCAACCTCTTTGGGAAATCAAACGCTATCAAACAGCGCTGTGCTCTACCAATTGAGCTACGCTGCCTTCTGGTTTGTTTTGGGGACCCTTAGGGGCTGGTGTGATATATAACGGATGATTAGAGGGCATGAGGGTGGCGTGATATGGTAGGTGTAAGGTGTCGGGTGCTGGGTGAAGGTTGGAGGGGCAGATAACCTTCATCAATGTCCAAGTCCGTGATATCGGGAGGGTGGGTCGTGGGCGGATGATATTCGGCTAAATAGTATACTCCAGCATAAGAGTTTGGCGTGGCCGAACGCGCAGAGTGCCCCACTACGACAGGGGGAGAGCACGACCGCAACCCAAACGTAAACCGCGACTGGCTTCACAACGGAAGCCGGCTTGAGGATGGGACGAGGGTAGGCACGGCAGCGCATGGGAACCCAGCAAGACCACCCAGGATTTCATAGCAATATGCTTCCCTCTGTTCCCACCTCATTATATCGTCAACTCCCTACGCCCGGATAAACCTCCCAGCGTTCTGCCACCGTCTGACGACCCCTCTATCAACTGACTCTGTCAATACTCATGACATTCGTCTCACATATCCACATTTCAATATTGCCAGCCTCAACAACATACCCTCCGGCAAATACTCACATATACATATACACTGATCCCTTCCCCCCCGTTCTCCTGATACTTCCGGGCGGCATCTAAACTCACAATGGATGGAGACTGGGAAGAGGTTCGTCCCCCGGAATGAGCTGTGTCTGTGTCTTTGTTCATGCATGCCCAAGCATACCAACTCACGAGGCATTCTGCTATGAATTGGATACTCACCATGTGCATTGATTAGGTGTCTCGCATCTCACTTTCTCCGGTCGGGCATGTGTCTCAAGGCTCTCAAGCCGCCATCACGGCAATAATCTTTGATACGACCCAGAATCTGCTGTGGACCGGCAATGGATCTGTAGGAACTTTGACCACCCCAATTGATCGAGCCTTGGCGTTTTGTTTTCTGACACCGGATCATAGGGGCGCGTAACCTCTTTCTACGGCAATGAGCTGCGACGATACACGTCTCTCAAAGCTCACAAAACCGGAGCGGTGCATCAGCTGTTAGCCAGTGACAAGGGCATCGTCATCCTCGGTTCCAACTACCTACACCTGGCGTCTCGTTGCGGCCCCCCTATTTGGCATCTAGAGTATGCGCATCTTCCACTATCACCCCCCAGACGCACGCGAACGACAGTTGACTGACTTTCGTCCGGCGCAAAAAAAAAAGGGTTCCGGAGTTCCAAGATCTCCGATGTATGAGCTTCACGTCGAAAGGATCCTCCGAGATCCTCGTTGCCGGTTGGCAAAGCACAATGTTCGTCATTGACCTCGCTAAGGGCGAGATCGTGAGACGGGTAGGCTATGTCCGAGGCACTCCCGGCTTCATGTCACTAACCATCTGCAGGTGCCAACCGACAAACACTATTCCATCATGAAGCGGAGCAGGTACATCTGCGCGGCCACCAAAACAGGGACTGTCGACCTACTCGACCCTACATCGCTTACAGTCACGAAGACGTGGCTTGCCCATTCCGCCATGATCAACAACATGGATGCTCAGCACGATTTCATCGTCACATGCGGTTATTCCCTTAGGGGGGGACAGAACTACATGCTCGACCCGTTCCTGAACGTGTTTGATATTAAGAAAATGTCATCCACCCCTCCCATTCCCTTTCCCGCCGGGGCAGCATTCGTTCGGATGCACCCGAGAATGTCGACGACGAGCATTGTAATTTCACAGCAGGGTCAAATGCACATCCTGGACTTGGTGAACCCGAACACTAGTAACGTTCGACAAGCCAATATCTTGAGCTTTCTCAGCATGTTTGACATTGCTCCGTCCGGAGAGGCACTTGCCCTCGCCGACGCAGACGGACTCATCCACCTTTGGGGTTCACCAACCAAAGTTCATTTCGTCGATTTCCCGTCCCAAACCATCTTTGCTGATCCTGTCGAGACTCCGCAAATCGACTGGACGCCCGATATGTAAGTATATCTTCGACCTCAAGCCACTGCCCCCTTGTTATGTAGTCTTTCCGCTGACGTTTCTGCTCGAATCACATCCCAGGCCGTTCAACGTTATCGGCATGCCATACTACCGGGACACTTTGCTATCTGCATGGCCGTACAGCGTGTCAGAAGTGGGAGCCCCTCCCCCAAAACTCGACCCCCAGTTCCTCGACACACTTGCGCATGCGGACTTTGGACTCTACGGCCACAACACAAGGGATGTACGCCGCAACCAGGTCGAAAAGACCAGGAACGCCGACAAGTCGACGGCGTCGGGAATTCAGGCGCCGAAGTTCCTGAGCGAAAAGGCCCGAGAGTCTGCCAAGGCTGTTTCCGGATATCCTCCGGATGACCAAGCCGGAGACTTCACAACGAACTCCACCGGCGGGTCGAGCTCTGAGGTTCCCGTCATGTACCGAAACGTGGAAATCAAGTATAGCAAGTTTGGTGTCGACGATTTCGACTTTGGGTACGCCTGTATCTTTTCTCGTTGCATCGTCACCATCAGCTACTCACAAATCTTAGGTATTACAACAAAACGCCATATTCCGGGCTTGAGACTCACATCGCGAACTCTTACGCAAACCCTCTTCTGCAGCTGCTCCACTTCACTCCGTTAATACGGATTATGGCCTTGCACCATGCGTCGACGTCTTGTGTTGACGAGACCTGCTTGCTCTGCGAGATTGGATTCCTCTCCGATATGCTTCAGAAAGCGGAGGGCTCGATTTGTCAAGCCACGAACCTTCTGAAAACATTAAGCAGTCATCCGCAGGGTACGTTAGCCCACCTACACCCTTTTTCGTATAATTTCCCCACTAACATGTTTTCGACCACTCCCAGCGGGACCTTTGGGGCTTCTAGAAGAAGACCCTCACGGGTCGTCCTACGCAACTATGATGCAGGGGTTGACAAGATTCCTGCTGGAGAAGATGGCCCAGGACTTCCGCTCGGTCCCTACTAAAACAGTAACCTCTACCCTCGAACAAGTAAGTAATAGTGGAGTAGAAGGGGTCGTCTTGAATCCGTATCTAACCATCGGGCACAGATCCTCGCAACGGAAGCAACTAGCTACATCCGATGCACGAAGTGTGCGAATGAATACACGAGACCCGGTTCAACATTTGTCAACGACCTGATGTATCCTCCCACTGTTAGTGGCCCCACGCACCTCGATTCCTTCGCAACTCCTCCGCTAACTGGCTTCAGCCGAAAATCCTCAGCCGGACGCAGAAATTCACCAAGCCGACCTTCTCTCAAGTCCTCAAAGCCAGTGTCGAGAGAGAAACAACGTCCAAGGGCTGGTGTAACCGGTGCCAGCGATACCAGACTCTGTCTACAAGGAAGACAATTCTACAAGCGCCGTCCGTCCTCATGCTAAACACGGCCATAAGGGACGCAGACCAGAGTCAGCTGTGGTGCACACCAGGGTGGGTTCCGGATGAGATTGGGGTAATCGTCGACCAGGGCCAGTTCTTTTGCTATGAGGGAGAGGACCTGAAGCACCACCTGCAGCGTGGCTTCCATAACATCCGTGTTTACTCTTTAATCGGTCTAGCGGTTAATATCACGGGCACGCAAGGTCAAAATCCACATCTTGTGGCTATTATCAACGGTAAGATGCCATCCCTTCTAGCCCCAGATACATGTGGCGATATGCCAGTTTCTAACTCAGAATTCAGCCGCTCACTCACAACCGACGAGGCCCGAGGGGGATGCGGGCCAGTGGCACCTCTTCAACGATTTCCTTGTCCAGCCAATTTCAAAACACGAGGCTCTCACCTTCGCCTCCTGGAAAATACCCTACGTCCTCACGTTCCAGCTCAGAGAAGCCAACAACAAAGTGGACTACTCCTGGAAGCAGAACCTTGACACCAGTCTGCTCTACCTTCAACCGGGGTAAGTAATATATCGTCCCGCCCAGCCCGATGTGCATCCTATTGCTAGCCACTAACCCTCTGGCTAGTCTCAACACTGGACTCGCAGATTCCGCTCGAGCGCTAAATCCCGCGTCGGAACACCCCACCGCCGAAACCATCATCGCTCTAGACACCGAGTTTGTCGCCGTCCGACAGCCCGAGATCGAGGTAAACTCCGACGGAGAACGGGAGACAATCCGCCCGATAGTATACGCTCTCGCCAGGGTCTCCGTTATCCGCGGCCAAGGAGAGGATGAGGGTGTGCCCTTCATAGACGACTATATCACAGTCAAGGAGCCCATTGTCGACTATCTCACCTCTTACTCTGGCATCACCAGCGCCGACCTCGACCCCCGCCTCTCCAAGCACAACCTCGTCTCTCTCAAGACGGCCTACAAGAAGATCTGGATCCTCCTCAACTCGGGCTGCCGGTTCCTCGGCCACGGCCTCAAGCAGGACTTCCGGGTGATGAATATCCACGTCCCGAAAGCGCAGGTCATCGACACCATCAATCTCTTCTACCTCAAGTCACGCCTCCGGAAGCTGTCGCTCGCGTTCCTGGCGTGGTGCCTGCTGAAGGAGGACATCCAGCTCGAGACGCACGACTCCATCGAGGACGCGCGCACCGCGCTGAAGCTGTATCGGAAATTCTTGGAGTTCCAGGACGCGGGGATCCTGGAGGCCATGCTGCAGGACATCTACCGCAGGGGTAGGGAGGTGAACTTCAAGCCGCCGAGGAAGGACGGCGTCGACGTCTCGAGGATGGAGACGCCGCCCTTGCCGGAGGCCGGGGGCGGGGGGCCGAGCACGCCCTCCAAAAGCGTGCCGGCGGTTGGTTTTGGGGCTAGGTCGGGGTGGACGCCGGGGAAAGGGTCACCTTTTAGGTGAGGTCGAGCCTGGAAATGGGGTAGGTGGTTGCCGTTCGGGTAGGGTTTGTTTTGAGGGGTGCAGCCAGATAGTAGGGGCTGAGATGTATAGTTCTTTGTGACACTGTTTCCTGGATCAAGTTACAGTCTCAACAACAAACACTACGCTACATATGTGCATTGCTGATCTCGAGACATTACTTCTGGCTGTGTGCGGTGCAAGGAGTCT